TAATCGATATAATTGAATTTAGGTTTTTCTGGGTTATTTTGAGTCATTTTTGATAATTTATATTTTTAAGAAAATTATTTATTCCACACTACTTTTAATTTTGTGGGTACAAAGTTAGTATTCTCAAGGTTTTTGTTTTCTATCTTTACTGCATCTGCATTTCTGTCCTCTCTTTATAGTTTGTGCCTCCTTTCTTGCTCAATTTGCCCAAAGTTTACTTATTTTATAAATCTTTTTAAAAATCACCTTTTAATTTTTTTATTCCTTTTATGTCTTTTCTTTCTCTTTCATTATATTCTATAATAATCTCTTTTTTGTTGTTGTTTTACTCTGTTATCTTTCCAGCTTCCTCAATAGTATACTTAGCTTATTAACTTTCAACTTTTATTTTCTAATATATGCATTTAAAGCTCCTATACCCCACAAGGAGAGTTTTCTTTGTCTTTCAATTCTAAATGTTTTATAATTCCTACTAAGATTTCTTCCTGGACTGTTAAATTTTTAAAATTCTTTTAAGTTTCCACATATATTGGAGTTGGGCTATCTATCATTACTGATTTTTAATTTTGTTGCATTGCAGTCCGAATACGGTCTCTATAGTATCGACTGTTTTGTAAATGTTGAGGCTTGCTGTGTGGTCAGTTTGTGTAGATATTCATGTGATTTTTAAGAGTGTGTGTTCTTTGATTGTTGGATATGAGGTTCCTTTTATATTCAGTATATTAACTGTAGCTGTTTGATCTATTAATTTCTGTGAGCAGTTGTTAAAATCATTCTGATTATGGATTTGCCTATTTCTCCTTGTAATTCCTTCTGTTTTTCTTTTGTATTTTTGGAGACCTTGCTGTCAGGTACATAAAAGCTCAGGATTATTATACCTTTATGGTAAAATTAAATCTCTAATTATTATATAATGACCATCTTTATCGCTAATAATGAAAATCTGTATTTCATATCAGTGTATCTATGTTGAGTTTCTGTTGCCTAGCGTTTGCTCGGTATGTCTTTTTCTATCCCTTTACTTTCAACATTTCTATCACATATTTTGAGCGTGTTTCTTGCAAAAGTTGTTTAAATATCTGAAAATTTCTGTCTTTTATTTGATGAGTTAGAGCCATTTATATATATGATGATTAGAGACGTATAAGGTTTTTTCTTGGTTTTTTCCTCTATTATGTGTGGTTTTTGTTGCTTTGTTTTTCTCCTCTCTTGTTTTTTACTGGCTTGATCAAATCTTTATGTCTTTTTCTCTTATGCATTTTTAAATTCGTGGATTCCATCCCACTTGGCAGTATTCTCTCTGAGCAGTTTGTTGAAAGTATTCCATAATCTATTATTTTCTTTTTGCTGAGGGAAAGTCTGTTTTCATTCTAATTGCTGTCCTTTTGCAGGTAACCTGTTTTATAGGATTTTGCTTGTGTTTTGGTATTCTGCAGTTTCACTATAATCTATCCATGTATAGATTACTTTTTATTTATCATGTTTGAGACTCATTTAGCTTTTCTTAATCTCAAGATTTTGTGTCTTCTACTAATTCTGGAAAGATCTCAACTGTTTCTCTTTTTGAATATTGCTTCCCTATATGCCCTCAACCCCACCGTCTCTCAGCTTTTCAGGATGACCGCTTCCTTGCTTCTCTCCCTTCTGCATCGCCAGTCTCTTGTACCTATTGTGTCAGTTCCATCGACAAGTCAACATGCCCTAATGTCTCCCGTCTTCTACTAAAAAACATCTTCCCTTGACCCCGTATCTTCCAGGAGCTATCTCGTTGCTCTGCTGGACATCATAGCCAGATTTCTGGATGAATTTGCCTCCACATTTCTCCGCTTCCATACCTCCCATTTATTCTTCAGCTCACTTGAGTATGACTTCTGCCCTCGCCAGTCCAAAGAGACTGCTGTAGCCAAGGTTGCTAATGACTTCCCTGTGTCTGATCAATGTTCATCCCTCATCTAACTGGACCTCTTTCCAGCATTCAGCATGGTTGACCACTTCTTCCCTGAAACACTCTTTCCTCTTGGCTTCTGAAACACTTCACTCTCTTGGTTCTCTCCAAATGTTGGAGCACCAAAGGCTTGGCATTGGCCTCTATTTTCTTCATTTTCTACTATTTGTCCCTAATAGTTTTTATCTATTCATGCAATTTTAACTACCATGTATTTGTCAGAGATGGCCAAATGTATACCTCTAGCCCTCACTCCTCCTCTGAGCTGTTGAATTATGTGTGAATCCCTGCCTGACCCTAATACTTGGAATTTCAGCAGCATTTAAGCTTAAACTGTCCAAAGCTGAATTCTTAAATTTCTCCCCAAAAGACTATCTTCCCTATCGCAGCAAATGGTGTCACCACCCACCTGGTTTCTAAAGCTAGAATCTAGGAGTCATTCTTGATTCCTCTCTCCTTCAAAGACCCACATTTATTCTATTATCACATCCGGTAAATTATGTCTTCAAAATATATCTCAGATCCATCCACTTCGCATCTCCACCTCCAGCATCCTGGCCTTGGCCTCTATCATTTCTCGACTAGAAACTACTATCTAGTTTCTGAATCTCTTCTGCTATTACCACTGTCCCATCCATTCTCAACACAATGGTCAGAATATCTTTTTTAAAAAGCATCTTCCGGGAGCCGGCCCTGTGGCCTAGTGGTTAAGTTCAGCGCGCTCCACTTCAGCCACCCGAATTTAGTTCCCCAGGCACAGACCTACACCATGCAATGGCAACCATGCTGTGGCTGCAACCCACATACAAAATAGAGGAAGATTGGCACAGATGTTAGCTCAGGGCAAATCTTCCTCAGCAAAAAAAAAAAAAAAAAAAAAAAAAGGCACCTTCCTACTCAAAATCCTTTAAGAACTTCCTGTTGGACCTAGATTAAAACCAAATCCACACATTAATAAAGGCTTCAAGACCCTTTCCTACCTTCAACCTCATTCCAATTCCTCTCCCCCTCACTCTGGCATTCTGGCCACCCTGGCCCTTTAGTTCCTCAGTCACATCAAGCTCTTTTGCTCCTGCATGGCCTCCGTAGATTCCTTCTGCCTGGAATGTAGCTGTCCCTTTGCCCCCACCAGACTGTCTCCTTCTCTTCCTTCAAGCAGCTTGAGGTCACCTTCCCAGAGAGGCCTTCCTGACTGGCGAGGATAACATTGGGGCCTCTCTTCAGTCTCTCTAGTAGCGACCTCATTTTTTCTTTTATAGCCCTTTCCACACCTTTTTTCCTTTTCTTTTTCTTTTTTTGTTTGGAGTTATTGTTATTTTACATATTATTTTATTTAATTGCTCTTACAATTTCAATAGCATATTAACAATTGATTTTGTTGCCATAATTAACCAGCAGTCCCTTTAGAGCATTTCTAGTAAAATATTAAGAAGCCTTTGATGGCTGGATTTAGAAAATGTTCAACTTTCCACAGGACTCTTTACTGAGGGATTCTTTTAGCATCAAGATTGATCTAAGGGAGACTTTGGGTGAATCACGGCCTTGAGGCTCTGTGAGAAGGCGGTGCCCTCAGGATGGACTCTCTGCCTTCCTGCAAGGCGTGCTTTGTCACATCTTGGTGTCACTTCCTTGCAGCGCAGCACAATTCTCCACTTTAGTAAAAAAAATTCTGAGAGACTTTTTTCAAAGCAGAAATAGGATAATGGGCAGTTTGCATGTGATAAACTAAAATACCAAAAGACTATTATAACTTAGTTTTATTGCATAGAAACCATGGTCATAAGTTTCTCTTTTTGATTTATTAACTTATTCAATTTGTCTGTCTTTACAAATCTGCGAGTTCCACTAGGAGGGAACTGGGTCTGTTTGGCTTGCCACTTTATGTATACCCAATTACTAGCATATTTAAATAAAGCAAGATCTCAAAGTGATGCCGTTTTCTTTTTGTTAAGTAGAGCTGATGAGCATTTTCCCAGACTGTTACCAGAGTTGTCATCCTGACTTTTCTATTCAATAAAAGTAGTATACAGACCTCCCAGTGTGTTGAATAATATTGTCTGCATTTCTTTTCTTTTGTTAATGGAGGTTTAAAACTTTAGAAGTCCTTGTATAATGTCTCATAATATTTTAATTTTGTAAAAATTCAAAACCTTTTCATGTAGATTTGCATGCCCCCGAATAGACTCCTGTGGTGGTTTTTGGCTTACCATGGCCACATTTGCTTTCAAGGAAACTTCTAGGTCTGCTTCTTGAAGCTCATTGGTGCTAGAGAACATATATTTTTGGGATTTTTTTAATCATCTCTTAGTACATGGTCCTGTCACAGGAGGACCCGTACCTGAATAATTAGAGATAAGACCATCTTTACTTCATGATATTTAAAATCTTTAACACCTGGCTGGGGCACAAACCAATGAGACTGGCACCTTGGCCAATCAGAAGGGACTTGCAGCTTACACGCATAGAGGCCGCCCAGCCTGCCGAGTGCGGACTCAGTCTCTGGGGAAGGCAGTTCTTTAGATCCTATTGGTAGCCTTCATTTTCCACCAACTCCCTCATCTTTCTAATAACTTTTTTAGAAGTGGCTCACAGCCTTGGAGCCTTTTAATTGTCCTGTAATCATGTCTTTTTTATAGCTTCCTGGATAGTCTGCACACAGTCTGCCTTCCAGAACTTACAGAGCTAACTGCAGGTTATTGCCAGTGGTTTGGGCTCTCTTGGGTTTGTCCATGCAGTGCCTTCTTGCGGGTGATGAGAGTCTCGTTCCTTAGCTGATGGCACGGCCCTATGATCTTACTGTTTCTCCACCTTCCTTTCTGACACTGACCTGGGGCATGGTGGATTGGTGGAGGATTTTCAGAGATCAAAGCACATCTCTGTTTTCTTCAGGTCTGTTTACAACTCCAGCCCACTGGAAAGAAAAGGCCCAGTGAGGAATGCTCGCTCCCACTGAGGGCTTTATTTCTTGACTTTCATCTATTTGTTTCATGTCCAAGGCCACCTGCCTCCAAATGACTCTGAATTTTCTGATATTTTTCTTCTTTCTGGATCACAGGTCCACACGTTCCGAGGCCCACACTGGTGTGAATACTGTGCCAACTTCATGTGGGGGCTCATCGCCCAAGGGGTCCGGTGCTCAGGTAGACCTGGAACTTTCTGTATCCATTTCCATTTGTATAAAGTGCCACAATGTTGAGCTGGAGGGCATCTTTCCAGAGCTGGGAAATAGGCCTACCTTAGCTCAGAAGTCTAGCTTTCTGAAAGATTCAAGGCATCTCTGTGCTTCATGGAGAGACTGGGCTAGGTGTGTGCTAGAAGGAGGAGGAAAATGTCATCTTTATGGAAGAAAAGGAAAAAGTCCAAGCAGGTCCATTTCCTTAGGCACTTACCTGCCACCCCAAATAGGCAGTAATCCTTAAAAGAAAATCAGTTCCAATGGAACTGCATGGATAGAAAAGCCATATTTCTTTCCTATCCCCACTTTACTATAAAAGGCAGGGCATAAAAATAATAGTACTAGTGAACATTCACCACATACCAGGCATTGAGCCAAGCATTTTCTATTTATCATGCCATTTAGCCCCACCAATAGACCTTGGGGGAGAAGAAGTTATTCTCCCCACTAAATAGATGAAGAAACTGAGGCTTGGACATCATTGCTCATTGCCCTTGGCCACATAGTAAATGGTGGAACATTAATTCGACTCTAGAGGCCATACTCAGTATTTTTTGGCTATCAGATTATCAGTGGAACTCTACACGTTGATTTGATATTGCATGTTTTCAAAGCACATTGAAACCCTAGGTCTTTTTCCATATAGAACTAGATGCACACACCCATTGCTAAGAGTACACGACACATCTTATTAAGATACATCTAACAAAATAGCAAAAAATTGCCAAATTAATGTGTAACTGGGCTTCCTAATTCATCTTACCATGCTTTTTCTGACAAGCATTTCTGGCTGGGAGCAAGAACAGCCTCCTGTAATGTAAGGATTGTGTTTCCACTGACACCATGACTGATTTCTTCTTTGCTAGGGTATGATTTTAAAAAATAATTCTTATGAAGCATTTAAAATAAAATAAGCTAATGACACTATGTTAAGAAGATCTGTTTCTCCGTACTGCCCATTTTGGTTCACAGGATCATGGGGCCTTAAATCTTTTCTCTGCTTGGAAGGGGCTATCTTAGCTTCTACTGTGTAGATACAGCAATCACCAGGGGTGAGACCTGGATGGTTCATTAGTGCCCATGCATGTCAGTTATCTCTCCCTGCCCCCATCCCAGAGCTGTGAGACAAGCTGTATCTGTAGGCTCAGAGGCAGCCTCTTCAGAAATGTTCCAGATGCCCAAATTAACACAGAAGGCTTACTCACCAAGAGTCACAAAGTATCTCACAGCTCAACCACTGAGCAGTGTGGCAGAATATTTGAATTACTCAGTAGTCATTAATTCAGCCTGTCCCAATTATACCTATCCAAAATATCCCTAATTGCTGGTATTATCCAATTTCAGCAGGAAACTGGTCCAAAGTCAATATTTTGAGAACAAAACTCTGGGATTCAGATTAGCTGTGAAGAGCAACTTTCTCTGGGGTAAAGGGTTTTTGGTTTTTTTCTGTGTATGTGTTTTTTTTAATAAAACATATTCTAAGGCTGTAATGTTAGTATTTTCCGATGGCCACTGTTTCACCTCATATTTCCTCTGAGCAGCAGGAAAACTGAAAACTGATCCTTAAAGGCTAGACAGAGCCATCATTGCCATCATATGTAAATATTAAATAAATATTTAAATATTTTTACATGAACTAGACTTTATAGCATATAGAATTGTATTTGTTTGCCAAAAGTGAATATTTTTATATTTGTTATAAAACATCTTCATTTTAATAAGACATCAGTTTTTAACTCTACATAAACACACTATTGCTTCAGAACTTAAAATGAAATTTATAAGGAAATTAAAAATAGAATCATCATAGAATTCAGCAATTCCATTCCTGGGTATTATACCCAAAAGAACTGAAAGCAGGCACTTGAACAGACATTTGTACACTCGTGTTCATAGCAGCATTATTCACAATAGCCAAAAGGTAGCAGCAGCCCAAGTGTCCATCAATGGGTGAATGGATAAACAAAATATGGTCTATCCATACAATGCAATATCATTCAGCCTTAAAAAGGAAGAAAATCCTGTCATATGCTACAAGCTGAATGAAGAAGGACATCATGCTAAGTGAAATAAGCCAGTCACAAAAGGACAAATACTATATGAATCCACTTATATGTGGATTCTAAAGTAGTCAAATTCATAGAGACAGAAAGTAGAATGTGGTTGCCCGTGGCTGGGGGAGGGGAGTGTGGGGAGTTATTGTTTATTGGGTATGGAGTTTCAGTTTGGGAAGACGAAAAAAATTTGGAGATGGATGGTGGTGATGGTTGCACACAATGTGAAGGTACTTAATGCCACTGAACGGTACACTTAAAAAGGATTAAAATGGTAAATTTTATGTATATTTTACCGCAATTTAAAAAATTGCTTTAAATGAAGTTTGTGAGAACATAGTAAAAATTCCTAATGAAAAAACTTAAGAATTGCTGGGGAGGCATCTTTACATTTTCTATCGCCATATTTTTTCCTTTTATTTAACTCTTATGTAGTGTTCACCACACTTCAGACTTTATATCTATTAACTTATTTAATCCTCATGATAACCCTAGGAGTAGGTGCTATATTATCTTCATTTTATAAAAGAGGATCCAAACAAGAAAACCAACCAATTCTATTTAGTTCAGTTCACCAAAATTTACATTCACCAAATAGATCTATCAAAATATTATTAAAGTTCACTTGAGTTTTATTGAGTTTCTCATGTTGATAAAACTAAGATGAATGAGAGCTGGTTTTTTCCTTGGAAGGAGGGTAGACAGAGAGAACTCACCAGTAAACATTATGTGAAAATCATCTGATGATTTTCAAAAATCATTTTTTGATGATTTTATAGTTTTAGATCCTCTCAAATCTTTGGTGTGGTTAAGTGCTTTGTAGTAAAGCAGCTGATTGTAATATTCATTATCATGTGTGCATAATATTTATATATAAAATAGATAAATTATATAATATATAAAATTCTTCTTCTTCTTCTTCTTTTTTTGGTGAGGAAGATTGTCCCTGAGCTAACATCTGTGCCAATCTTCCTCTATTTTTTTGTATGTGGGATGCTGCCACAGCATGGCTTGATGAGCGATGTGTAGGTCCATGCCCAGGACCCAAACCCTCAAGCCCCAGGACACCAAAGTGGAGCACACAAACTCAACCACTGTGCCAACTGGGCTGGCCCATAATTGTTATTCTATTTTGTGCGTGTGTGTGTGTGTGTGTGTGTGTGAGGAAGATTGGCCTTGAGCTAACATCTGTTGTCAATCTTCCTCTTTTTGCTTGAGGAAAATTGTCGCTGAGCTAAGATCTGTCCCAATCTTCCTCTATTTTATGCAAGATGCTGCCACAGTGTGGCTTGACAAGTGGTGCTAGGTCCACACCCAGGATCCGAACCCGTGAACCCCGGGCTACCAAAGTGAGGTGCGCAAACTTAACCACTATGTCACTGGGATGGCCCCTAATTATTGTTAAACAATCAATATTAGAAAGCACTTTGAACAGACAACACATCAACTTTGAACAACTTCACCATTAAATTTTTATTTTCCAGAATGTAGTCTGTGCCTTGTTATTGTTAGAGAAATTCCATCAGTGGATACCAACTGCTAACAAGACTTTTAATGTGTTCATTGAACTTAAAATCACCTTTTCAGCTTCAGATCTTGATATGAGCTTTATAAATAATTACTCTAATCATCACATTACATGGTGTTGTTCTAAATTGTAAACCCTCAGGTACTCCCACTGGTGTCCAGTTAGACATTACTTCACTCACAGGTGTCAAAATAAGGCAAGTGGAAAGGAAAATGGCCTACCTAAACTGCCTAACAAGGAAGGAGGGAGTGGAAACTATGGGCAACTCTTCAGGAAAGGAGAAGAAGATGCCGATGGTCATGGGTCCCTCAGACCAAAGATCAGAGATTCCTGCAGAGAAAGCAATCATTTCTTCCACAAGAGAAGCATCAAGGCCTTTAGGGGAAATAAACTAGCAAAAGTCCTAGATACCCTTTATGAGGCATGACCAGCTCTGGGAATCCAAGCCCAAAAGCCCACATGTGGACCCAAAGTTTCCAGTCCAAAAAGAGAAAAAAAACCTACAAACAACCTGGCTAGTTACCAAAACTATCTCAGTGAGATGTTGTATTCTTGTGGTCCAGCAACAGAGAAGGCTTAATGAAAAAAAACGGAACTATACAAGAGTTTCGTGAGTAAAGATGGTTTCATGCTCATCTTGTGGAAAGCGTCACCTCTAAATGGGATGGATGTTCCAGAGAAACACAGCAAACCCTTGGGTGTTTTCATTTTTATTTTTGGTAACATATAATTTGTGTTGGGCTTTGACAAAAGGGCCGGGCAAGGCTAATGTGGCTTCTCTGTTTACAGACTGTGGATTGAACGTACACAAACAGTGTTCCAAGCACGTTCCAAACGACTGCCAACCTGATCTCAAAAGGATCAAGAAGGTGTACTGTTGTGACCTCACAACACTCGTGAAGGCTCACAACACCCAGAGGCCCATGGTGGTGGACATATGCATTCGGGAAATCGAAGCAAGAGGTTTGGAAAAGACTCCTTATCATAGTGCCTTTATTTTTACTGTTTATGTTTAGTTTGTCAAGGCAACTTTCTTATAATTGTTAAATCAACTCTCTCCACTATTGATGTTGGGAAATGGTCTGCACAGGCACGCATGTACACACACACACACACATAAACTAAATCCACCCAACTACATCAATTTCTGTTTCGTATCCAAACCATGCATATGTGCACTCAACACAAGCTTGCTAAGCATTTATTTTATGCCCCACATGGAGGATGTAAAAGTCACAGTTCTCACCTTTAAGAAATTCATACTGTTATGTGCAGAATCAGAGGGGCAAATAAATGTTCTAGGTGCATGCATTCAAAACACCATGGAGTCACAGAGGAATACATTTTCATCTTATTTGAGGACAATTCAGAAAGGGTTTATGATAGAGGTGAGGTTGGAATCGAGTCTTAAAAAGTTCTTCTATTAAATAAGGAAAAAATTGTTGAGCAACACATACATTTCCTACCATAGAAGTTTACTCCTAGTATTGATTCTGTTTATTTCAAAGAGGAAACTTAAAAGATTAAAAATATCTATGCAATGAAAAATCAAGGAGGCAAGGAAGATAACATTTCAAGAAAAAGTTTCCTTATGTTATTCTTGAGTCATCTTTCCTTTACTTGTGCTTTTTTTGGCCGCTCTCCAGTATCAAAATGTTCAGTGATATGGCGGATTTCTGGGTGTGATTTGGATGATTGGACCATGTATAACGCTCAAAGTTTCAACTGTTTTTGCCATGTATTGCTCTGCTGTAGTTGGTATCCATTATTCTGTCCAAATTGGCTTAATATATTCTACAGCTATTTATGCTTGGCCAACTATCCCATTCTTTCCTAAGCAAAACAAAAGAGAACATTATAGCTTGTTATCCCAAACCTTTCAGAGATAGGAAATTATTCCCTTTTCCATGCAGGATGAAAATTATAGCTATTCTATTCCCTTAAGACTTACTCACCTAATCTCAGATTGTAAGAAATGCCTCCCTCCTTTTGACTGCTATAGCTGTAAGAGCGTAATGGGTGCTTTGGAATCTGGGGAAGGTATTGATGCACGGGCTGAGCTGGGTGAGAGTTGAGGAGGGGTGTCCTGACTCTGGATGAATGGCTAGGAAAAGTAGCCTGGGGTCCTGCAGTTGAGAGGGCTCTGCGATTTGTGGTCAGATCATCAGCCTCTCTGGAGCCTGAAATCAGGACTTGTGCTTCTCTGGATAAGCTGGGATCATCCCACAGTGATCCTCATCATCAGAGATAACAGATAATTCGGGCAAAGTTACCACCAGGTCTGGTGTCGAATGTGTCCCTGGAGAGTGCAGCACTAAGCATGCCTAATACAAGAGCTAGAATAGCACAAATTAGGAATCTATGCCAGGAGAGTCACAGGCAAGGGATTGGAGCCACAAGTATTAGGGACATGTGCATGTGAGCAGAACCACAGAATGGGCTGGAAGAAATTCACATGACTCTCCGGTTCCCAGCTTTGTTGCCACCACTGCCAACGTCTTACCCCATCTTCCTTCCATAGCAAATTCCTTGTTATTCTCCAAATGCTCTATTATAGCTATTTGTTTCTGCATGGCATGGCAGAGTGAAAAGATCATGGACCTGAAGTTAGATTCCCAGCCCTGTTACATACTAGATATAGTGTGACCTTGAGCAAGTTGCTTACTCCATTTGGATGTCTGTTTCCTTATCTGTAAAGTGAATGGAGTCATAAGGTGGTTGTAAAGGTTAAAATATAAATGACCATCTAAATGACCTAGTACAGGCCCAACATATAGGATGCAACCTGTGTTATTTCTTTCCACATTTTCTTGGATTGACCAACTCCCCTAACCCCACCTCCAAGTCTGTCTGTCTGACCAACTTACTTAATCCATATGTTTAAATGCTGTCACAGAGACCCCAAATAACAGTGCCTTCAAAAAGATAGACATCTCTTTCTCTTTCTAGTAACAGTCCAGGCCCCAGGAGCAGTCCATGGCTAGTCAAGCAGCTCCCCAGGGGCAGGAACCCAGGCCCTGCAACTTGTTGCTCCGCCATCCTTGAGTGCCCTCATCTGTGTGATCCCAGATGGCTACCACCATCTCACCAACCAAGGGCAAAAGGGCATGCTCTTTCTCTTCAAGGCTACAACTCAGGCGCTGTACACATCACTTCTGCTCTCTTCACATTGGCCAGAATTTAACAGTCACTGCATTGGATGTTGTTCCAAAAATCAAAGGTTCCGTTACAACAGATAATACAGATAAAACAACAGATAATATTGGAAGGAGAGATGGCTGCCTCTGCTGCTCTGGCAAACTCCAGCCCATCCCTCATGACTTCTTTTACAGACAGCTCCTCAGTAAGACATTCCCCGCAGCCTCTCCTGTCATCAGACAGGGTTAGTGTTCACTGTGCTGTGCTCCCATGTGCCGCTGTGTCCTCGCCTCTGTCACAGTGCAGCTTACAGCCATACTGAGGTGTGTTTACATGCACCACCAACTAGAACAGGATGACACACTAGGTCTCGTCTTGTCGGCCAACTCACTTGACCAGTAGTGGTTACCTAGATAACTGTACGAGATGAATTCTCAGACTGAGTGGGGCTCTGTGGGAGAGAGAGCTGAAGCCAATTAAAAATGTCTCCAGTGGTCACAGGAGAGAGGAGGGGCAGTATTTATGCCATGCATTTGTTATCTCTGATGCAGACCCTTATATATGGCAGATGGTACACACTCAATAAATGTTTGCCAAATAAAAAGCAGGAATGTATGTTAGATATCAAGAACTTGACAGAGTGTACTCAGCAGGAGTAGAGCTATTTGTTTGCTTGCTTTTGCTGTAGCTATAGTTTTATAGGAGCTGATTTTTGATATGCAAGATCTGAAATCTGTTCCTCTATCCCTTCTGATTCCTTTGGGACCTGGGTAGGCTTTAGCACAAATCTTAACAAATCGATAAGATCTAAGAGGAGATACCACATCCTTTGTTTAGCCTAAATATACAGCAAAGTTTCCAGAATCATTCATTAGAATTTTATTTCCTGCATCTTTTTGCATGATCATTTATTTGAAAGTGTAACAATGAAATCGATCATATTTAAACATTTAACATATTGTCATTTATTAAACATAAAAGCCTATAAAATTTGTATCATTCCAATAAAATCAGTATAATATGCTACATGTATGTGTGTGTACCTAGCACAGAGCTACATGCAATATGGCACCATGGATTAAGATGATGCTGGGGAGAAAGTGGGTTGTTTCCTGAAGCAGTGCAATCAGCAATCTGATGAACACAGGAAGAAGGAGACCATGATTGATGGGAATCTTAAACATGGGTTCGCTTTTGCAGAGCCAGGCAGGAAGAAGACTAGATCACTGAGGTCTCCACTGCCACGCAAGCAAATGAAGACAGACTTGCATGGAAACTGAGATGGACAAGTCCAAGTTCTGATGTGACAGTGTGTAATATATAAGAGCACTGACTATTTGCTCATTTCCTGATAGCACATGGTATAAATATGATATTAGAGTCTTTTTCAGTTGTTTCGGGAAGTGAAAGTTAAAGTCTGTCTCTCTTTTTTAACAGGATTAAAGTCAGAAGGCCTTTACAGAGTCTCTGGGTTCACGGAACACATCGAAGATGTCAAAATGGCATTTGACAGAGGTAGGCTTGTGCTTTCTTGAATGCCAAACGACTTATCCTTAGCACCCTCTCTTTTGGAACCAGATTTTATTCATAGTGGGAATGGGGTTTCAGAGCTACTGAGAGCTGTTCTTCAGGAAGCCAAGGAATAACAGTTTGCAAATCTCATAGTTCTCTGCCTTTTTGGGGGAAGAGTTTCCTTAAAAGTTGTGAACAAGTAACTACATGGAGAAGTGAGTTTAAGATATTACTTGAATGGGCAGCTAGCATTTGGTGCCATTAAGATTCTTGACTTGGTTGCCCAACATTTATGGTCAGTCCACGTGGCACTGGGGCACCCTTCTGCATCCCCCATCTCAGGAACCCATTGACTCTTCTCCTTCTCCCAAAGTGCCAAAGAAGAGATCATAGGGATGGGGGGTACCCCCAGCACTGAAGTAGGGGAAGCCAGTGGAAGTTTAGGAAATAACTCCTTACTCCTTTTGTTTTTTATGACTATGACATATGTTCTCTAGGCCATATTATCTCTTAGGTCAAATGTCATAAGCGAACTTGGGAACATGTTTGAAAATAGACATCACCAGGGTCCACCCTAGGGACTCCTGCAGAAATCCGGATGAGCCCAAGAATCTGTATTTCTATTGAACAATACAAATAATTCTGATGTAGCCAGTCAAGGGATGGAACCCCTAGCCTGCTACATAGAACCTCCACCCTGTAGAATAGTAGACAAGGTCTCTGATGATCTGGTTGCCCTATCTGTTCAAGCTCATGGTCACTTCCTCTTCCCCATATACTTTACACCTCATCAGTGCTGAAATACACCTTACCTGTTTTCATGAAGCAGCACCTCGGCTCACATTGCTCTGTCCGTCTAGAATATGTTCACATCTCTTCCTGGCAAACACCTATTAATCAGGTGTCAACTCGAGTCCTTCCTCTTTCCTGAATCCTCCCTGACCACCCCAAGATGAGCTAAGAGTCCCTTTCCTTTTCCCATGTCCCCCCATGTTGCCACATGTCTCCAGCATAGCCATCTTCCCATTTCCTCGCAATCCTTGAGTTGCGTGCCTGATCCCAGTCTGACTAGAGCTATTTGAAGGGAGGATGTCTTTACCTCTTTGATTCACTGGGGCTTAACCGTTCCTGGTACATGGTAGATTCTTAATAAGTGTTTGTTAACTATGTAAATAATAGGATCAGACAGCATATCTGCTACACTCTTACCATTTTCTGTACATCAGCAGCTTTTTTTATCCTCAGAACCAAATTTGCTGAGGCATTGGTTCTTTCTTTCAACTCTCTTCAGAAGAAAATGCTAATAGTCCCTATATGATTAAAACTTTTTTTAACCCCCAAATGTTAATAGCCTGTGATGGTTACATTGGACTGATATTTACTAATGGTAAAACAAAAAGTCAAAAAAAGTCTTGAAAGTGACTGTAAAAATGGTACGAGATATAACATTACCTATATAGGAGGGAAGGCTAAAGTTTCCTAAATTAAAGTCCTGGAGAACAGGGGAGGAAGGAGCAAGTTATAAGAACCTTCAGTGAGCCTGAAAGAAACAATGGAAACTGAAGATATTCAACAGTTATTTTGTATATGTGATCTCCAATCTAAGTCCAAAGAATACTGGTGGAGCTGTATAAGAACTTCTTGATTTTTTATTTTAAATTAGATTTTTATTCTACCATGAGCCTTTGGGTCTAGAATATGAATTACCTTGCTAAATTTCTATTTAGCAAATTACCAGGGGCTGAGACCCAAAGAATGATTTTAACTCTATTTCACTACCCTTTTGCCTACACTTACCCTCAGACCCAAAATCACTCTCACCAAACTTCTTTTTGTTACTTCCTGTATCTCAGGGTTATTAGAGGCCAAAGTAGTCAGCTGAGACTTATAAGGGAGTGTTCATTGCTGGGTCTTTTTTTTTCTTTCTGGGCATGCTTTAACTTGGTGAAATAGGTCCTAATTAGGAATTGGATCATTGTTTTTCAGATGGTGAAAAAGCAGATATATCTGCCAACATCTATCCAGACATAAACATCATCACTGGAGCCCTTAAACTGTATTTCAGAGACTTACCCATTCCTGTCATCACCTACGATACCTATTCCAAATTTATAGAAGTAGCAAGTAAGTACTGAGAGCTAATTTTTTATTTGTACCAAATTTCTAAGCATAATGCTTTTGACTTTAAGAAAATTAAAACTCAGAACTGTTTGAATTATAGTATGAGTACTTTCTTTGCCAAATGAGGGCACAATGGTACCCAGTTAATAGAAAATCAGGCATAGTTCACCGGCTGAGTTGAACCACTACCAAACCAACTCTGCTCGGCTGAAACTGGGTGCCAAGGAGTTCTGTCTGTCCCCATCATTCTCTCTGTGCTGGGAACCAGCACAGCCAGGCCTACTCTTTTATGTTGAAAGCAAGAATGTTTCTGTAGTAAAAAATCAGGTGTTCTTCAATGTGGACTATATAGATTAACTACTTTTACCCATTAGGCAGAATCCCACTGCTAATCGACTAAAGTCACACCCCAAGCCATTGATGCTGTTCAAAATTAATAACAGGCCAAGAATATACTGTGTCAAGTACTATACTGGGAACTCTCACCAATATCCTCTAGTTTAATCTTCTCAACTACCTAATGAGGCCAATATCATAATCCCATTTTACAGAAGTGGAAAGCTAGGCTTGGAGAGCTGAGCTCACAGGGCTTGGAATGGAACATCAGCATTGGTCTTCCATCAGCCCATGGCTGCTCACTCAGTGTTTGGCACTTGGGTCCACTGCTGTCAGAGAGAGGACCATAGGCAGGGGTGGGGATGCCACATTTTGCCCAGGAACATAGTGAGGAAGGGGAGATTCAGATGCTAGACTGCATGACATAGAAGTCAAGTACACTTTGAGGAAGTTTTTAAAAAATATAATCTTTAAAGGTATTTGCTGCTAAATATAGTAATGAGATGCCTGATGGGGAGATATGTGGGCAGGCTGGGGTTAGTCCGAGATGCACTTTGCAGATGAGCTGTGGCCCTACTCCCTGGTAAGAGCATTCTTTCCTGGGTCCTGGTGATCCTGGGTGGAGAAGGTTCTGGCAGCAGGGTACCCTCCGCCCCAGGAGGAATGACCGGAGAGCTTTCTTTGAGTGGCTGCCAATGCCTACCAGAGACCTAAAAAGCAGAAGCTGGCGTGCTTCCTCCCATTGTTATCATGCCTAGCGTCTGCTTCCTAACCTGGACTGTACACCAGCGTCAACCACGCCAACGCTTTGGTGAAAAGCGCCATTAGTACAGGCTGGGGTGGCTGGCTCATCTGCCAAAGCCCTTGCATTGTAAAGTGTATTCAGTTACGGAAGCCTGCCAGGGAAAGACTTATGGGACAACTTCAAGAGAACACTACCAAGCGCGGTCCAATGTGAATGAAAGCTTGTGATAGTGAGATTTCTAGCAAATCCAGCATTCAGGAGATGGGCAAAGCACAGTTTGTGCATGTGCCACCAGTCAGCATTCACAGGACTGCAGATTCCTGAAGGGCAAGGACCATGTCCAGCCTCCTGCCACCCACCCAGGGGACATTCAATATGCATATGGTTCCCAGCCTCAACCCCATTATAGAACAGGCAAGACACGAACAAATTGTTTAAGTGAAATGTTACCTGAAATTGCATGAACTTTTTAGACTTCCCCTCCATCTGTAGCCAGAACAAACCAAACCCCTTGTTACTTCTCTGAAAACTTGAAGGTTATGACACTGCACTAATATTCATTATGTGTGATCTTCACAGAAATCTCCAATGCGGATGAGAGGCTGGAAGCAGTCCATGAAGTACTGATGCTGCTGCCTCCTGCCCACTATGAGACCCTCAGATACCTAATGATCCACCTCAAGAAGTAAGTTGACACCTCCTTGACATTAGGAAAGGTCTAATGTATCGTTAGGCACAAACTCTATCTGACCCGGGACAGTTAATGCATTAGGAGAATTCACAACCTTCCCCCCTAACCCACTGAGTAGGCAGATACTCCTTCAAGATGAACTGTGCTGCCTTCTCCCAGGCCAGCCCCATTCATAACTGCTAGAACACTCTGTGCCAGGAGCTGCTCCACGCACTTTACGTGTGTTATCTCTGTGAGACGGGTACTGGTAGGTGTCTCATGTTACAGATGAGATTGCTGAAGCTGAGGGAGGTTAAATAACTGATGTGATGAGATGAGGTGAAGCCAGGATTGAAACCCAGGCAGTCTGAGCCAGAGCCCACACGGTGTCTTAACCATTTGTCTACACTGCCTCCATTTCTGCATCCTCCTCCCATGCAAGCCCTGTACTCTGTGTTCTGTTGTTTCTCCTTCTCCTCCCTCCAGTCCCAGACTCCTGAGCCTACCTTCCTTCTGGGCAAGCATGCTCCCACCCCAATCTCTTGTTTTTCTTGACCTATTAGTTATCTATCACTGAGTAACAAATTGCCCAAAAACTTAATGGCTTAAAACAATAAACATTTATGATCTCACAGTCTCTGTGATCAGGAATCCAGGTGTGGCTTCACTGGGTACCTCTGGTTCTAGGTCTATAATGAGGTTGCAGTCAAACTGACAGTCAGGCTGCAGCCTCATATGAAGGCTCGGCTGGAGAAGCGTCCACTTCCAAGCTCACTCACGTGGTTGTTGGCAGGATTCGGTTCCTCCGAGGCTGTGGGACTGGAGGCCTCGCTTTTTTGCTGACTGTTCTCTGGAGGCCAGTTAAATCAGTGCCCTGCCATGTGGGTCTCTCCATAGGCAACTCTCAAAATGGCAGTTGTCTTCTCTCCGAGCAAGTAAGCAAGAGCACCCAAGATAAAAGACAGTCTTTCTCTAACCTAATCTCAGAAGTGACATCCCATTGCTTACATTCTGTTTATTAGAAGCAAGTCACTAGGTCCAGCCCATCCTCTAGAGGAAGGGTATGAATCCCAGGTGGCAGGGATCACTGGGGGCCATCTCAGAGGGTGCCTGCCACAGAGGGCTATGCGCTGGCTTATCTTTATGAGAGCATGTGAGACAGATGGAGATGTTTGGGAGTTTACAGAACACCAGAGCCTCTGTTCCAGACTCTTTTTACCTAAGCCATGGATCTCTTTCTTTTACCATACATGTGTACTGGGGACAATGAGCTGGGCTTTGAGATATTAGAGGGATATGGGCACTTCTGTGTGCCTTCCTCTGTGTTTTTGGAAGATACATGACAGCAGCCCATTCTTAGATAAAATGAACCCAAAATTGTCTATATTGACCAATTTACAGATCCATTTAATAAGTCAAAGGAAGCAAGTTGAGAATACCATATAAACACAGGGGCTGAGGTCTTTATTTTTCTATCTTATAAAACATATCCATACTGTTGTTCATATTCAAGTTCATCAGAGATGTAATATTTAGCTCAGAAGATTCCCATTTGGATTAATTTATTGAATTTAAGAATACAAGTAATTTTTGGATAAGTAATAGACTGTAAATGTCAGCCTGGCTTTTAATTAGGTATAAATTATATCAGTGTCCAATTGTTATAGTTTGGAAGGCAAAGTATCATTATCAGGGAAAATGCTGACACATCCCAGTTAAATCTTAAATGCAATAATTTATTAATTTTATCATAGAGGGTTTGCTCACCATCTTGTTTGGTCAGTCATGGTGCCTGAATTAATGGGGAGATGTGAGCAATTTGATAGTGAAAATGCTCTCTTTCCTACCTCCTTCCTAACTTTGCAACATGAAAATAATGCAAGCTGAATTGACCTATTATGAAAGTCCTAAAACCTAAATTCTTTAAAGCAAGAATTGGGAAGTTTGTAATTTTATTCCATTGGGAAAGTATTAAACCAACTTTAGAGTTTGAATTTCACTCTTAAAGACTTTGCAGTTATTATCTGGATGTTGCAATGATGATTTTCAATTCCAACAATAATTGCTGCTCCAGACCTCATCCTGTGGAAACTATAAATAATCTTCAACTGCTTTCCCGTTTGGCCACATTCCAGCCATTCCCCTGTCCCATGATAATGGCCTGGCTCTTCCAAAACTCATGGCAGCCCCATCCTACAAGTAACCTTTCTCCTTTGGCACTAGCCCTGCCAGCAGACAGGGAAGCTGCCCTCAGCTTCCCTGCTCACCAACATACAGACTAGTGGGAAGTGACAAGAGAGAAAAAAGACTTCTGTACAAGCCTAGACTAAAATACGTACACACTAGGGGCCAGCTCAGAATCTGCTGTCTCTTCAAATCGATATTCCCTAAATGACAGTTCCACATTTATTTAGTAAGAAGGACTGATTTTCTAATTTCAAAGATTGCATCTGTAACAGATTTACTTAGTAATTCACTTCTACTGGCTGAAGGCAATGTCAACAATCTAAAAAAGAAAAACTAGAAAATTACCTTTTTAAAAATACTTTTCTGTAATTTTGATTCTCCATTTTCTTTTGCAATTTCCCAAAGAGAAGTTCTTAGGGGCAGACATACATAATCAAGTATATAAATTTGTCTGCAAATCTATGTAACGTCTCTGTGTATATACTTGTTTTGCAGAGTGACTATGAATGAAAAAGACAATTTCATGAACGCTGAAAATCTGGGGATCGTGTTTGGGCCCACCCTGATGAGGCCCCCTGAGGACAGCACCCTTACCACCCTCCACGACATGCGGTACCAAAAGCTGATTGTGCAGATTTTAATAGAAAATGAAGATGTTTTGTTTTAATCCACCAGGGAAATGAGCTGAATGGCCCCAGCCCCCTCTAAATTGATAAGGCTAAAGGAATAAAAACATTTCTTACACTTGATTTGTTTTCCAAACAAGTGACAGAATTTCCTGGACCACAGTGGATTGCCGAGTCGGCTACTGTGTCTCATAGACACTTGCCTCCTCCACATAAGAACAGTGAGGGTGAGGGTGGGAAAAAGCTCCCGCCTTGGGTCTTTGCCGAGCCTCCTGTGTGTCTGTTTTGCTGGAAGAGTGATTAATAAATCCTTCTTTAACTTATTAAAAAACAATGTAGACTTTTAAATTTCAGTCTTATCAGTAATAAAAGGGAACTTAATTCATAGAGGTACTTGATACAGTTATACATTTTCCACTTACAAAAAGAAGACAATTCTATATGTTAAATGTTAAATGAAACTTATATTGTAAAATGTATTTTTATTTTAGCTGCAAGAATGTTACTTTATTTTAGCAAATAGAACTCAATGCAGTGCATTGGTTATTACCCTGTGTTCCTCGTCCTGCCTTCTTGCTGTGATGCCCTGGAAAAGTTTACCGTGAATGCAGTATTATCTTGACATACCTCTGTCCTTATAGTGCTTTTCAATGAAATTTCACCTGCCACACGTGTCCCTGCTTTTGATAGTTTTTGCTGTTAAGCACTGGCATTTTGCTATCATAGTATGTTTATAGCAATTGTAGGATGGTCTGAAACATCCACAAACTTTCTTTCCATAAAAACTTTGTGAAACCCCCAGTATGTTTTGGAATTGGTCGTAGTCTTTCCATGTCATGTGTGCGGTCATTTTACATAAAATGATTTGAGAACACTGGTTGTATCTGGGCCGTGTAAAAAGTTAGCACTTTTCCTCTTTTCTTTTCCGGCAAGCCCTCTGAATTCATCTATTAATGGCAATTTGAATTTTTTCCACATTTCTGTATTTATGAAAAGTGAATCTGCAGAATAATTGTTGATTTTTTCATTTTGGTTTTATGAACAAGCCTCTTTTTAAAAGTAAGAATGAATAAGTTTGGTTTTTAAAAATATTTGTTCCTCCTTGACAAAAGTAGCTCTGTGGAGATAATAATTTAATATGATTTTTGTTACTATTCTTCCATCTTTGTGGTTATATTTATCTTAGCATGAGCTTTTCACACCAAGATTTCTATATTTTGTAACATAGGTAAAATATTCAAAACATCAAAAACTGTAAATCTAGATTTTTTTTTTCTTAAATCCAACAGTGTCTTTTCCTCTGATTGTCTGAGATGATTCATGTAATTACTCACTCATCTTGTTTTGGAGTGACCAGAAGAGAATTTCTGTGTGATAAGTGAGCTGAAAGTCAGGAGGAGGGCAGTGCACGTGTTGTCCTGGGAAGGCCCAAGGGCTGTGCGGATGGACTCCATTGGCACACGGGCGTCCACATGGTTCTGCTTGTTCCCTGCCCTTATTGTTCCTCCCAACTGTACAGATTTGTTTGTTGTAGCTTATGTACTTCTTGATACTGTCAAAAACTTATCTGGAAATGGTTTTATTTTGTGAAGTGAACAATACTTTGTAATTTATGATAGTGTAAATGGAAAGAAAAGCATTAAGTGTATTAAATTCTTCTGTCTATCATTTTGGAGTATGCAAAAGAAATTGGTGTTGGGGAGCGGTGGGTGGGGGTGGGGAGAATATTCAAAATATTGTTCCCAGGTGGGTTTTGGCAATGAAGTTTCTAACATCACCAAAGCACGGCGAGAAAACAGGAACATCCCAGTGAGTCCCCACTTTGTGCCCCACTCCCTCCTCCAGCTTCCTCCTGGAGAGCCGGCTGGAAGTTAGATTCTAATGCTTCACTTTCACTTTCTATAAGACCCATTGCATTTCTGACCTTCCTTGAGAGAGGTGGTGTTTAGAGCAAATCACCCTAGGCCACTTGCAGGAGAGCAGAACAAGAATTTTGGAGCCCCAAAGACTTGAGTTCGAATCCCAGATCTGCCTGTTATCAGCAGCCTATGAACTTGGGAATGAGTTTGCTCATCTGAAAAACTGGGGAAGATATTCCAATTGTGACATCTTAGATGAAATGATGATGACAGTAATTAGGTATTTCTTATCATTATTATTTTAAGAGTGATGACTTCAAAGAGGAAAAGATATAACATGGTGGTGGGAAGGAAGAAGCACGAGCAGAAAAGGATTTGTCCCAGGTTGAAGCCAAGCCCACATAGTAATATGGGATATTGTAACAGGGCTCTATAACGTGTAATGAGGTTCACTTGACTCCTTTGCTCAATGTGATTGCAACACCTGATCCTCTCCAGCATGCTTTAGTCTCAAGCCTGCTCACCCGCGCCTATCTCCCCCACCATCTGGCAGCCTGATGTGGCTCCTCTTACCTGGCTTGAAATTCCTGTCGTTGGAATCACTCTAGGAGTTAGACCTGAAGGGAGGCAGCATTGTTTCCAGAAACTCACTGTTAAAATATCCACGAGTAGGTTGTGAGAGGTGGCCTGGGCAGGGTGGCTGGGAGAAGACAGTTCTGAGGAGGGGAGGAGAGCCCTTGTCTTTCTCCCATTATCATAAATGGGCACCTGGTCTCCACAGCTTGGAGGGGGCTGGTGCAGAATTTCAGGGATAGCAGCCTGGAAAGCAGAGGGAGGGGAGATAAAGGGAGCAGAGGAAAGAAATGTATTGCGCAGGTGAGGTGTAGCCTGGGCTGCCTTGACTCCTACTGAAAACCCAACTCAGTTAGCTTACAATTTCCCAAGATCTATCAGTCCCCAAATTTACAGTCAATCTTTTGATTTTAAAAATGTAATTTTCAACCAATATTTATCAAGCATTTATTAATGGGCCGGACACTATGAATACTTGGGGGCAAGAAGGAGGCTTATCTTGCTGGAAGAATTAAATAATAAGTTTGGTCCAGCTGGGAGGGAAAGCTGGTTGTGTTAAGGATTTTGGACTCTAACATCAGGGGAAGAGGCGCTACTAATGTTTTTGGGTTTTTGTTTTTTTTAAAAAAAAAACTTAATTTTGGAATAGTTTTATATTTACAGAAAAGTTACAAAGATACTACAGAGAATTCCTGCGTTCTCCTCACTCACTTTCCCCCGATGTTAACATCTTATGTAACCACGGTACATTTATCAAAACTAAGAAACCAACATTGGTATATGACTAACGTTCGTACATTACTATTAACTAAACTCCAGACATCATTCACATTTCACAGGTTCTCTGCTAATGTCCTTTTTCTGTTCTAGGATACAATGCAGGGCACCCCACAACTTTTAGCATTAATTGGTTTCAAGGGACAGAGGACACAATCTAGTTTACATTTTCAAAAGATCACTTACTTGACTGTGGATCCATCGGAGAATCTGTGGGCAGACAGGGGTAGTGAGGACAGATGCGGGGAGGCAGATGTTCATTGCTGCCATATAGGACTGAGGTGATGGAGCCTGGATTGGATGGTAGCAAGGAAAAGATAAATGGAATTGAATTATATTTAGGAGGTAGCTGAAAAACTTTGGTTATAGATTAAAGAATCAAGGATGACTCCCAGGTTGCTTAATTTGACAACTGGATAATATTTACTGAAATGAACACAAAAAGATGAGCTAGGGGTTCTTGAGGAAGGGTGGCAAAAGTGAAGAAGATGATGAGTTCCCATTTTGGATGTGATGAAACAGAGATGCCTGTGAAATTTCCAAGCAGAGATGTTTTATAAGCAATTGCATTAACAGGCCCAGCTGGAACTGTGGATTTGGGAGTGACTCCCCAGAGGTAACAATTGAAACGTCAGGACTGAATGAGAGTACCAGGGACACAGAACAGAGAAATACCTGAGAGAGCCGATTCAGAGTTCTCTGGAACACCAGCATTCAGGGGAGGGGAAGAGAAACCAGAGAGGGCAAATGAGGTCTCTTTTAATGTAATAAAACATAGAGTGCAGCTCAGAAAGACTTTCCTGTCCTTAGGCTTGTTTCACAGTGTCCTAATCCATTTCTTTGTTCCACTTAGATTTATTTTGCTACATGCAAGGCACCAAGTGAGACCCCGTGCTTTGGAGGGGTTTGCTTAGTTAGATGCTTTATAAATGCAAATGAGCCGGTGTCATTTTTTTTTTCTCTAAGTTGAAAAGATGTTATCATACTCAAGGACCTCCTTCACTGCCTTCCTACTGCAGTTTGTACGTACGTCTAATCCAGCAGTTATCACAAAGTACAGCGGTTGTGTGTATGTCTGTCTCTCGCTGATGTACGAACTCCTTGAGATCAAGAACTGTGGCTGCCACGTGCTGGCCAGGCACACTCTGCTCATCCTGCAGGTCTCAACTGCCTGCTGAGACTTTCCCTGGCTTCCCCAGACAGAGAATTTAGGAGGTGCCAGCCATAAACATGTGAAAGCATGGGAAGTTCAGAGAACCATGAAGAGTTGGGTTTAATGAGAACATGAAGTGTGAGGACGACGAGGGGGAATGAGATTAAACAAGCAGGCCTGGGCCAGGGAATAAGGAACCTGTGTGCCAAGCACAAGTCAAACGTAGAAAGATCTGTCTGGTGACACCTGAAGGATTGTCTATAGGTTGTAAGACCAGAGACACAGAATCCGACCGAGAAGCTGTTGTAGGCAACGACACCCTGAACTTGGCTCCCAACAAGAAGGATGGAGAAGAGTAATGGATATGAGAGAAATTAAGGGGGTTGTCAGGACTTACTGATTTGATGCCAGGATTGAAAGGAGGGGAGACTCACAAATGATACCCCCAATTCTGGTTTTTACAACTAAGTGAATGTTTAGGAAGATAAGAGAATATAGGAAGGGGAGCAGGTTCAGCAGAAGGAAATCGTGTTTCAGTTTTCGGGATGCGTGTGGTACTACTGGCACACCCATGTGAAAATGCCTGGTAGGTGGTTGGACACGTGGTTTTGGACCTCAAGAGAGAAGGATGAGCTTGCAGATATGACCTGGTCAGACTGGATGGACAGCTAAAGTCAAGAGGACCAATAATAGGTATCTGGGTAGGAATAAAATCTAAGGAGCAGACAAAGGTAGAGAACTTTGCAAGTAAGTCAGGAATGACCAGAGGAGGAGGCTGAGAGTTGGGAGTGTAAGATGAAAGCAGGGGAAGACAGAACTTCAGGGATGGGGGAGCCAGCAGGCTCAAATGCTGCCGCAAGGTGACAAGGTGATGAGTCTCCTTTGGATATGGCGACTAAGGAGTCCCCCATAACTCAACAAGCTTTTCATTGGGGACGATATGGTGAAAGGCTGAACCTTAAGAAGCAAATGGGGGTAAAGAAAGAAGACAAAACCTGTAGTCAGAAAAACAGACAAAGCTCTCCTTTCAGAGGCTTATAAACCTCATATGTACGGTAAATCATCTATGGGAGCAAATTTTTCATTGCTGGCAAAAAACTATGACCTTATACTTTCTTGAAAAAAATTGTGTACTTCAAAATCTTCTTAAAGAATTAGGTATTACTGGAACAGATTTTTGGTCACTCTAGTTACCAAGCATGATACCTGGTTTTTCCTATGTCCTAATCTGTAAAATGGGTATAATCTTGGTTTGTTCTCGTTCCATAAGCTGGAAGTGGGCATAATAACAGAGTATCTGCTCTCCCCTCCCCAGCAGAGTGCGTTTAGGTTTCCACTGAGATCCTGAATGTGAAAACTGAAAGCTCAGTATGAACTGTAGAGTAATGTACAAATGTTAGTTATTGTACACACGCCCTTCCTTCCAAAACCAGTGCCCTGCCAGGTGGGCAAGGCAAGGTTAGACCATTAATTGGCAGGTTTGGAGGATGTGGAGGTGGGGGACTGGAGCAGGGCATGCCTCTCCGGGGCAACATGGGCTTCAAGAATCAGAAGTGCGGGTTAAATAGCCCACAAGGAAAGATGTTCCAACTCCAAAGTCTAAGCAGAGAAGACCTGTGGCAAGACAAAAATAGACCTCATCAGGCCAGGACCTCAGTGCCACAGACTAAGTCAGGAATAAACGTGTGTGCACACACACATGTGTTTGAGAGAGAAGGATGTGGGGTTCTTTTCCAGGGAGTCCCTTCTAAAACCCATGAGGTCTTTATGAGCCAATAGGTTTGTGACTCTTGAATGTGTCAAGATGACAACTCCCCACCTCAGGGACAGTCCTAAAATGGCAAGATTGGTACAGTACCTATTACCCATATGAGCATGGATTACTGACTAATAAGGAGGTAATCAATAACCTGAAAGAAACAGTGATTCATCAGCCAGGAAAATGCCTCCTGCACATAACATAAAACTGATGCAAAGAGCTTAGAGAATAAGGATATTAATTATCTCAACAAGAAGATGTAGGGAATCTCGAAGGTTGGTGCTATCTTTCTTTCTTCTCCACCATCCTCAGCTTTTTGGCATTTCCCTCAGGCTTTGACTCACTTGGTTTTAAGGAGGTAGCTGCAAGGACAAGCAGGACATATCTTTCTCTTCCTGTGTGTCCTGTTTAACAATCAGGAAATCTTTCCCCCCACAGATGTTCCCTCACAACTCATTGGGCAGAATTGCATCGCAAGCTTACAGCTAAACCAGTGAAGAGCGAACAGAATGAGATTACCTTGATTCGTTTAGACCAGCATCTCACA